TTCCCAAATGGCTGGTAAACAAAGCCGACTGGGAACAATTTCAAAAGATTACACACTTAAGTTGGACCGACATATGCGGATTAGGCATAGATGAAGCTGTGCAGTACTTCACGGCTTTTCTTACTGACGCAGCAGCCAAGTGCATTCCACAAACATCTGGACTGCCCGGCAAACGACACGTCCCGTGGTGGAACACTGAGTGTCAGAATGCGCGAGAGGAACAGAATAGGGCATGGAGGTTGCTGCGCAACTCGCCGATAGCGGAAAACCTTGAGAGCTTTAAGAAAATAAAATCTCGAGGCAGGAGATTGGTCGGCAGGCCAGAAGAGAAAGCTGGCACAAGTTTTTATCAGGGATAAATTCATATACACAAGAGGCTAAAGTCTGGGACATGGTTCGTAGGGTAGCAGGAAGACAAGTACACTCACTCCCACTCGTAAACACACAGGGTGACAGCCTGGAAGATCAGGCGAACTTCCTCGGTGCACACTACGAGCAAATGTCTAGCTCGTCACACTATACTGAAGTTTTCCAAAGATATAAAGCAAGGATAGAAAAACAGAAACTAGAATATAAGTGCACAAAACACGAGGCATACAACGAACCTTTCAACTTAGCTGAGCTACAAACATCACTAAACTCTAGCAGTAATTCTGCACCAGGCTACGACCGTGTCACGTATGAAATGTTGAAAAACCTGCCGCCTAAAACGCGAAAAACTTTACTCTCTCTATACAATGCTATCTGGCTTTCTGGCACCATCCCTGCTTTCTGGAAAGAGGCTATTGTTATCCCTATTTTGAAACAGGGCAAGGACCCTTCCTCAGTTTCAAGTTATAGGCCCATTGCACTAACCAGCTGCCTTTGTAAACTTTTTAAAAAAATGATAAACCGCCGACTTTTACATTTCCTTGAAACAGTTCCAGTGTGGGTTTCGAGAGGGTAGATCCACCACCGACCATCTGGTGCGTATCGAGGCACAGATACGAGATGCTTTTGTCCACAAACAATACTTCCTCTCAGTGTTTCTCGATATCGAGAAGGCTTACGACACAACATGGCGTTTTGGCATATTAAGAGACTTGTCTCACTTGGGTGTGCGCGGTAGAATGCTTTCCATAATCGAGAGTTACTTGTCCAATCGGAAATTCCGTGTCCGTGTGGGCATTATTCTCTCCCAAACATTTGTGCAAGAAACGGGAGTACCGCAAGGTGGTGTACTTAGTTGTACACTTTTTATTATTAAAATGAATTTCTTGCACCTGTCCATCCCCCGCAACATGTTCTATTCCACATATGTCGATGACGTCCAGCTTGGCTTTAAGTCATGCAACCTAGCAATGTGTGAGCGGCAGGTTCAGTTAGGTTTAAACAAGCTCTCCAAATGGGCAGAGGAAAACGGATTCCAGCTGAACCCAGAAAAAAGCACGTGTGTCTTGTTCTCCCGAAAGAGAGGCATGCACTCAAAACCCGACATTGAACTGAACGGTCATCGTCTGTCTGTTAATGCGGAGCATAAATTCTTAGGCTTAATCTTGGACAACAAGTTGACATTTGTACCACACATCAAGTATTTAAAAACAAAATGTTTAAAAGCCATGAGTGTTATAAAAGTGTTGTCACGTACTATGTGGGGTAGTGACAGGCAATGCCTCATGACCCTGTATAGAAGCCTCATTCGCACCCGCTTAGATTATGGGGCCGTTGTCTATCAGTCTGCTACTCAAAGTGCCTTGAAGATGCTGGACCCCGTGCACCATTTGGGCATCCGCCTTTCTATGGGTGCTTTTCGCACCAGCCCCGTAGAAAGCCTTTATGTTGAGTCAAATGAGTGGTCGCTTCATCTGCAGAGAACTTACATGTCCTTTGTTTATTTCCTTAAGGTGAAAGCAGACAAGAAGCACCCCTCATACTCTACAATTAATGATTTGTCGAGCTCAACTCTGTTTCAAAACAGGCCTTCGATGAGGCAGCCCTTCTCAGTTCGCCTGAAGAGTCTAGCTGAGGAAACTGGAGTCTCACTTGAACACAGTTTAATGGCTCCTGTAGCATACCCGCCACCGTGTCAATGGCAGACTATAGACTACGATGTGTCTTTTCTAGAAGTTACAAAACATGCGCCTACTGCCCATATCCGAAAATACTTCCTGGAACTTCAACACAAATACACACGTCCTGAGTTCTTTACAGATGCCTCTAAGTCCAACTCCTCTGTGTCCTACGCTGCTGTTGGCCCTTCCTTTTCGGATGCGGGCCCTCTACATCCAGGCACAAGTATCTTCACAGCGGAAGCTTATGCGATACTTGTGGCAGCTAAACACATCAAACAATTACAAATACAAAAAGCAGTAATTTATACAGGCTCCCTCAATGTGGTAACGGCTCTGCACAGTCTTAAAAAACAAAAAAACCCTGTCCTCGTCTCACTCTACTCCATTTTATGCACACTCTACACACTCAACCAACATGTTGTAGTGTGCTGGGTGCCAGGGCACCGTGAGATTCAAGGCAACGTGATGGCGGATCAGCTTGCTGCATCCGTCCACGAAATCAGTGCCACTACACCCATATCGATCCCACCCCTTGATCTTAAGCCGTCTCTCAAACGAAAGCTCAGAGACTACTGGCAGAGCAAGTGGGATAGACACACACAAGACAAGCTACACGTTATCAAGCCAGACCTTGGCCATTGGCCACCAGTATCAAAATCACGTCTAACAGAGGTAACACTAACAAGACTCAGGATAGGACACATACACAACACACACACATCTTTTGTCCGGTGGCGATCCACCATTGTGTGACAAATGGGGTGAGGCATTAACAGTCCTTCACGTTTTAATCCAATGTAAGCAATTAGACACTCTAAGAAGACAACACTTTCCATTACCCTACCGACAACATATACCATTACACCCCGCAATGTTTGTTGGTAGGGAACCACTTTTCACCCATAAATCATTGCTAGTTTTTTTAAAAGATGTCTGTTTTTACCATGTAATATACCCAGGCATTGCGTAACGTGACCTCTCAAGAGAGGTTGCTGCTGCAGTGACTACGTTTGAAAGCACTTGCCTCGCAGCCCTTGGACACAAGGGTGCTGATGAGGAACTTGTGCTAGTGCCAAATATTTTTACATATTTTTATTATCAAACCTTTGTCACCCTTTTTACTATGCATATCACGCCACTGTCATGATCTTAACACTTATGTTTTTACCCGCATTATCGCGAGGAATTTTAAGGCCCCTATACAGCCACGCAACTTATCATTGTCCGCATCTCTACTCATCGAAATGGCGCTCTTTGGCCATCAATTGGCCCTTGCGCCACAAAGCGCCACACATCATCATCATACCTGTATTACCTGTCATTTTTTTTCTGACATTTCAAGTAAACGTGGGCACTGAGTTTGGAATGCTGCCAAACGCGGCAGTGCTGTGCTGCGAAATAATATTAATAAAATGCAGCCCTCTCCTGTCCTGCCAGTAGCCCCATTGTTGGTATCACCAGGATTGTCATGTGAACAGCAAAAGGTGTCTCGTCTGCTGCATTTTTGCATGGTGTGGTGGAACACTCTGCTAGGAAGGGGGACAAGCTAGCGAAGGAAAAAGAAAAATGAGCGAGGGCCACGTATCGATCATATAAGTCTATTATGGCTCCACATGAAAAAAAAAACACCAGGCCTGCACAGAAAGTGCAGCGCAGTCACAGTGAAAGCTAGAAGAGCGGCTTTTCAGAGCCTTTTCTAAACACTCATTGGGTAACTGCTGCAAGCACACTTGCTTGATGCCCATTACAGCATTTATAATAAAAATTTTAGGGTAGTAGGCCAGCATTCGATATGCTATTCTTCGTCATTCTTTTGAGAAGCGTGGTATCCGCTAAATTGTTGCGAGAAATTTTGTGCCAATTGTTCATGCAGTGGCTGACGGCAATGAGGAATTATGCCTGAAGTGATATGCACCACAGATAATAGCTGAACAAAAACAAGCTTTTGTAATGGGTTGGAACATTGCACGACCGACTCGTTACGCTATTCGCATTGTGTGACAAGGGCTTGTTTTTTGTTGTTTTAAAATGTTTTATAAGTCGTAATAATGTGATTGCTTTCCTGACATCTAACTAAGGCACGTTTGCCAACAAGTCACAAGCACCAGCGTAGCTCAGTGATAGAATACTGGGCTGGCACCCAGCGGACCCGCGTTCGAGCCACATTGTGTCATTGGTACTATGTTTTTTTCCTAATTTCGCGCGATGTGGTTACAGACACTGGTGGCGGTGGACAACTACGACACTGGGTGAGACCCGAGCTGTGATCTCGTAACAGTTTTTGCTGTAATTATCATCCCTCTTGTGCAATGCAGTGTTTGGTTTTCAGCTCTGGGTGGTTTCGGGGCTCCTGAAGTTGTCCTTGTGCACGTTTTGAATGGGCACCGCAAGAAGTTGTTTCCGTTCGTTTTCTCTGCATTTTATTGTTTGAACAAAGTGTGTGATTTGTGGCATCATGGGTTCACTTTTACTTCACCAGTAATACTGTGAAAGCTGCACCTTGTCGGTTGCACTTGACATGCTATGCCATGTTCTGTTCAGAAGCAGAAAGACTTATCACTCCAGCATTTCATTTGAACGCTGTCTCGAGGTTCGTGAAATACGGCATCCATTTCAGGGTACTAATGCCAGCTGCATGCTATTTCCCCTGGCAGCACAGCAAAAAAGCCAAAGAAAGCATCCATTGCTTGTGTTAAGAAGCTACAGTATGCCCAGTAATGCAGAGCATGGATGTTTGATGAAGGCTGTGCACAGTGAGGAAGGTGTGTACCGATTAGTTATCTAAAGGGATGCATTTTATTATTTGGTTAGATATTTTGCTGCAGTGATGATTGTTCAATAACTTCTCTGTGTAGTGTAGCTTAGCATTCTGCTAATGAATGAGATGAATGCTCATATTTTAATTCTTTCTCTCTTCTTCTCGGGCGGCCAATGGTAACAACGCTACAGCCGACAAAGGTAAGCCCATCTCATTTTTACTTGTCACCTTTGAGGATTGTAAATTGAGTGCACAAATTTTTCTCTTCACGCAACAGAGCACCAACACTGTAGCTTATGATTCCATTGCAACTACTTGACGTTTCAGCTGTTTTGTTGTTGCATGCAGACATGAAGGGTTCATCAACTTGTTCCTTGATTGAAGCTGTTGTGTATCCTTAATCTCTGTTTTCTTTATGTTGTTCTTCGCAGCCATTTAGTCTAACCTGAGTGCTTCCCTCTGTTTCTTGACAAGTGTTCGTGCCCTGTAATGTGATCGCAAACTTGGTTCCGACATTCGGAGCTTCCTGTCTGCAATTTCTTGCATGGCAATACTCTCTCAAAGCCAAAGGAGAAGCAATACAGGAGAGATGGAAAAAAAAGGGACACAAGTTCTGAGAAACACAGAAATGCCCCAAATTATATGAGTAAAATTAGGGCAGCTTCCCACTAGTGATGCCAAGCATACCTAGAGATAGCCTAGATATAACCTTACGAGCCCATGAAAGTGAAGTTGAGCCTGTATTTGCCTTTCTATTTCTTTCTATTCACTATTTCTTTTCTGTCTCTGCCATTGAACATATTTATTCTTTAATCAATGAATGAATGAACTTATTTATTCAGATACTTAAAAGGCCAAGAAGGTATTACGAGATTTTGCAATGAATGGTGTACATAAAAGAGAAAAAAATATAAACACTAAGCAATAAAATAAGAATAGATGAACCAAAATAAGTAGCAGCAAGACCCTTTGACAGTATTACATGCAATGGCTGAAAAAAAAAAAGCAGTTACAGCTTCATAAAAGGCAAGGCTTGAAGCACTCAACTAAAAAGATCATCAGCAGTATGAAATGAAACAGGGCTACTAAGCTAAACAAAGCAAGAGAATAAGCACACATGACACAGCATAAAACAAATTGCAGAATAAACTGCTACACAAAGAGACACAAGTGTGAACCAGCTCCAGTGAGGCCAGCATAGAATTAATCTTTTGGTTTCGGTTTTCATGACACTAGCTTATTTTTGTTAGAAAGGAGGCACACACGTCTCGATAACCAGGAGTGACTTTAGACTTTTTACAGATGAGTCATGATTCACAGTGTCTGTGTTGTCAGCAGGGTGAACATTCAATTCAAGAATGGCTTCAATTTTGTGCTGGTGATTGAGTCGCAAAGGTATGTGACCGGCTGGCCTGATATTAAAGGTATTGTGGGACGACTGATTGAAAATAAGCTGTTTACAAAAGAAAGTTCCTTTAAACACTTGTTCTACCAGCGTGCCTGAATATTTGAGTGTTTACAGTGCTCCCACGCAGATCGTGGGTACCTTTGTTCGAATTTTATTTTGTTTAATTTTTTTCCGCTTGCTTCATCCAATGTGTTATTAGAAAATGCATGGCGACGCCATCACTCGGCAAAGTTTTTCCATGAACTGTTTTACCTCTGGATTCGCTATTGAAAGAGAAGTTGGTCGATTCCACGGAAGATCAAATGACGTGGTATACTTCATGTCTCCGGTTTTCCTTGTAATTTTGTATATTATGCCCCTATGACCGAATAACGCCAAACCACATTTTGTTTTCAAATAAAAAATGTTTTAACCAAGGAAAATCTGAGAAGCAAAGCCAGCTGAGAACGGCTGTCTTACGAAGAGTGCATTTTCGCAATTTCGCGATCATGCTAACTGCAACGCAAGTTACTATATATCACAAATATATTTCTGCGTAGCACATGAATAGCTCACTTAATGTTTTCTAATTCTGGCCACTTAAGTATTTTTAAATATTCACAAAAATTGCAGTACTGTAGGCGCGATTTCTGCTTCTGTGAATGCCATAGCTTGTTCATATTTACAGAATTGATAGTTCTTTTTGTCAATAAATACAGTTAAACCTCGTTATTTCGTTATAGCCGTAGCGGGAATTTACCGCAAATATTATGCACTGTACTTACCCCCAAAAAATAGCGGGCGAAATAGCATCCTGCCGCACGGTAGTATGCAACAAGATAACCGCATTCCCAAATAAAAAGTAAAAAGTCATGCACCTGTTTTAATGCACTTCAAAATACACAGCTTGCATTTCAGGCAGACTTAGCTGCAAAGAAGTCCGTAATTGGACGTTGATGCATCTTCCTAATGCGAACGATGGCTCGCTCAGCTGCGGCCGCAATGTTCAAGCCATCTTCGCTGTCCTCGTGAGCGCCGAAGTAGCGGCGTAGTACGTGCACCGCGTCTAATGCCTCCGACGCCGTCGGCACGTTTGTCTCCTGTTCGTCGACAGAGTCATCGTCACTGGTTTCGTTACGATCACTGACAGCACGCACAATATCGTCATCCAGGAGCTGCTCCGTTGCCACCACTTCCGAGTCCGCACTCACATAGTCGCAAAACGACTCGCTGTCAGGCACGACACCGGCGTCACAAAGTGCCGTCCATGATGCAGCGACTTCGTCTGATGTGGCCAAACCGTCCGGCACAGGGCTCGTCTGATGGTTCATCGCTGGCGTCTGGTGCGGCGGCAAATGAGGCGTGTCGAAAGCAGTTTGCGATCGTGGTCGCTGTCACACTCATCCACGCCGCCTGAAGCATTTCGAGCGCAGCGTACAAGTCAACATCGGTGTCTCGCTTCATCCTCATGTTGAGCAGGAGCTTGCCTATCACACGCTTGCGGTAACCTGCCTTCAGCGACATAATCACGCCTTGGTCAAGCGGCTGTATTTTTGCTGTGCAGTTGGCAGGAAGGAACAGCAGCTCGATGTTTTGAAGCACGGCAGCGGTATGGTGGGCGGTGCAGTTATCTAAAACAAGGCACACCTTGCGGTTCGCCTTTGCCAGCTTCTCGTCCCATTCGCAAAGCCATTTTGAAAAAATCTCCCTGGTCATCCAGGCTTTGCGATTGGCTACGTACTTGACTGGGAGCTGCCTCTTCCCCTTAAAGCAGCGAGGGGATGCACTTTTGCCATTGTGATGTTTGTTGGTGAGGTTCGTCGCGCCGCAGAGCGTGTGACGCGTTGCGGATGGAGGAGACGGTATCTGACGTTAACAAACCACACTACAATTGTATTTGACAGCATACACACACGAAATACATAAAGCGGCAGCGTACACTACTAGTCAATTGTCTCACGTGGCGGTGCTTGGGGACCAGGAGGCTGTGGGCTGGTTGCGTCCCTGTGATGACGTAATCGTCGTCGGGTAGATGTCCGGTGTGGAAACGACGTAGCAGCAGCAGGGGTTAAGGGCCGAGTGAACGAACCGTCGCTCGGTAGCCGGTAGCCAGACAGGGCTCGTCCGCGCCAGGCCAGGACCTTGCGACGCTCGTCTCGACAGCGGTGGACAATCTGGAACCTCGCGCGTAGGTGCGGGTTCTCCGAGAGCAGCAGGCCGCGTCCCAGGTCTTGCCAGGCGAGGACCGTGAGGCGCTCGCTGTCCCGAAGACAGGCGCCCTGTGTATGCGAACCTCGCGCGTAGATGCGGGTTCTCCAACAACCTGCCGCCCGTTCTGCCGGCGTTCCAAAAAAAAAACTGTCTCGCCTGCGCGCGCCCTTCTTAATCTTCTCTGCAGCCCGAGCTCCTTCGTTTTTCTCGCCTTCCAGCGATCGGCCACTCCGTCGTCTGCTCTCGCTTTCCCTGCTTCGTCACAGCCATCTACGAAAATTGGCAGCTTCTCAGAGCTGGTCATGTTTGCACAAAGTAGCGCAGTGATCCGCAGCTTACTTTGTTTGCCGCCATGGCACGGCGCGCCTTTGAGGGCTAACGTCTTGTGCGGCAACATCTTGAAGAAGAGAGCGGTTTCGTCTGTGTTAAAAATATCCTCCGCGCTGTATTTTTCTAGCAGCTGCGCGATGTTTTCTTTCGCCCACTTGGTAGCCTCTGCTTCGTCGACAGATTGCGATTCGCCGCAGACCGCTCTCCCGACAATGTCGTGGCGCTCTTTGAAGCGTTGGAGCCAACCTGAACTTGCTACGAAGTTGTCATAGCCCATGATGTAGGCAAAGTCTCTCGCTTTTCTTTGCAGCAAGGCGCCGCTCACCGGCAGATTCTCGGCCCGCGTGTCCAAGAACCATTTAAAAACGGCCCTTTTGACCGCTTCAAAGGCAGGTGCCCTCATCCTCTTAGCGCTTCCTTTCACGCCACGTGCAACAGCGTCGATGATGGACTCCTGCTTGCTCAAGATGGTTGACAGTGGGCTCGTCGATACGCAAAAGTCTCTTGCCATGTTGCCTTTCTTGGTTCCCGATTTGACGGCTCTTATCATAACCGCCTTCTTATCTAGCGTTATGCGCTTTCGCTTCCCGCCTGGCGCATTCATGTTGCTGGAATCACGAGCGCAGCATGTTAAAAGATAAGGCGGAAGCGGTCGAAAAAGAGAAGAAACACGCACGCAAAAGCAACGCGGCTCACGTTGGTGAGCGACAACACTTGCATAGAAAGTGACTGTGAAGAGGAAGGGGCACAGGGGCTCTCTTTTGCGCTGCCCTCTAGGAACCGGTTACTCAAGGGGAAGGGCGTATGTAAGATTAGAAATCGCCTCAGCGCCATGAGAAAGGGGAGAGGGAGAATATAAAGGAGACACAAAAGAAAAGAAAAGGACGAGACGTTCGCGGAGCTGCGGAGCGCTCCGCTGTCGGTGGTAGCCAAGCGGTGCACGTGCAGCGACCTCTCCTCCGGAAACAGCGCGTGCCGTCTTCTTGGCGTGCGTTGCTGGAGGGCGCCTGGCGGGAGTTTTGAACTGCTAAATACAGTTCTCGCGTTGCGTGCCGTCTCAAATTCGCGTTGTGCACTGTCGTGACATCGGCTGAAAATTTTACTTCCTAACAAAATTTGTTCGTTATATCCCATAACAGGCAAATTTTGCCTCATTGAAATGAGGTTTTGAATATATTGGTTTGTATGGGGACTTTCAAGGGGAATTAGGATTTGCTCGTTATATCCATTATTTCGTTATAGCCCGTCTCGTTGTAACGAGGTTTAACTGTC